AAAAATAAAATTTAATTTAATTTTTTTTTAACTCCCTTGGCATTGACAAATCCTGCCAGGAAGCTCTTGTTAGGGTGAAATAGTAAAATAGGCTAATTTTGAATTTCTGTTCTATGTAATTTATTTATACATATAAGCTGTTATAATAAATACACTTAGCTCTCTTTGTGGATCAGTTTTAACATTTTATATTATTAGGATTCACTTGGATTAAATACCTATGGATTACTGTGTGTGTGAGAGTATATATATATATATATATATATATATATATATATATATATTACACAAACATACACACACAAAAGAGAAAGGTATTATTATTATTTTTTTTTAAGTGTTTGCACACATGCCCTTAGGGTTGAAAAGGGTAAATATTTTCTAAGAACCTACAAATATTTATCATTTGAAGAAAAGTTAAGACAATTAAAAATTGAAATGGTGAGTTGTGTGTGTGTAATATATATATATATATATATATATATATATATATATATATATATATTCTATCTCAAAGACATTGAAAGAAATTCTGTAGTATTCAGTTTTAAAAGCAAAACAGAAAACATTGATCAAATATTTGAAATAAAAGAAAAACATTATGAATTAATGAATCAGCCAAACTTGTTTTTCAGCACAAGAGACACATAGGAAAAAATTATTGGTAGAAATTTTTAAAAAAAATTTCAATTCTAGCAATTCACCTCATAAAAGAAAAAGAACACTTTTTTTTTGAGCATACAAATTTTTACTGGCTTCAGGAAATTATACATTTCAGCGTGATATATTTGAAATTTTAGTGAATGCTTTCCTTCAATTTACAAACAAAAAAGAGGAGGGGGAAAAAAAAAAAAAAAAAAAAAAAAAAAAAATCGATGAAACAGAGAGAAACAATGAATAAAAGTGAAAATATTCCAGCTTTTAGAAAAGAGAAAAATAAAAAAAAAATAAAGGAAATAAAATGCTTTCTCATGATACACTTGATAAGAAAACAGAAAAATGTAACAGGTCTGAGAAAATACAGCCATTTTTTTTTTTTTTTTGAATTAAAAAAAACATTAAATCCTCAACGCGAGAAGAACATAGAAACAAACTCAGCTGGTTCTTCTTGTGAGGCCCAGGGTGAAAATTATTAAAGACAAAGAAAAAAAAGTTATTGATGATGAAAAATTACTGTCTCACCTCTGTCTTTATCAGAGAATTTTTTTTCTCCTCCACGTTTGAAGCAGAGATAACCAACTAATTTTAGTCAAGAGACAGGAATTGATTGGGCAGGTGAAAAAGATGGTCAGGGAGAAATTGTCCTTAACGAACAACTTTCGGATAAAAATCATTGACGACACAGCCAATGCTAAATAATGGAAAAATAAAAAATATCTGAATTTCAATGCAAATGTATGTGTATATATTTGTTTGTTAATGTCTGAGCGAGAGGAACAATAAAAGCTCTTAATTGTTCGCTTTAATAGGATGAGAAATGATGCCATCAAGGAACCGCCATGGCATCACGAAAGGGGGCTTACAAGACAAAACCTGTCTACTGCTCACTAATACAGTTAGCAAGGATTGCCTGAAAGTATGGTGGAGCAGGTACTACACTCTGATCCTAAGATGTACAAGTGCACCTACAACAGGTTCATGCAGATTCAGATAAAATTTAATAACAGAAAAGTTTAAGCATTGCTACTAATTTGTTTTTTTTTTTGTTTTTTTTGTGGTTTTTATTTTTAAAGCTAGAATTCTCATTGGTGAAATTCAGTCACAACAATTCCTTATCTCAAAAACAATCCTGTCAAACTTTTTTTGTTAAAGGCCATTTTTTTTTTTTTTTCTATTTTTGATAAGTATAGCTAGAATGGAGGTTGTAGCATGCAACTTTCTCATCATCAAGGTAGTTGTCTGTTGGGAATGTCCCAGAAGAGTTGGTTGTTCAGTTCATTGTCTTGATTAGGTACTTGTCAATCATGAGCAGGAAGGGAGAGAGTGCCACTGAGTTGGCAATTAAAAATAAAAAAATAAAATAAAAATAAAAAAAATAAGGAAGGTGAATAGAGAAGAGATAAAACATATTTGATAGTTGAAGATTCAGAAAAGCAAATCTGGAAAGGACGGGGGGGGGGGGATAAAATTAAAAAAAATAAATAGAAAATTAGGGTTTTTAGTTGACAGTGACAATCTCAACACAATAATAGCTCCAGCCTCCTGACAAAACAATTACTTAGACAATTATCTGAAGCCTACTGCAATGCACCAATGTGGTTTATAGGGTATCTCTTCCTCTCTCCTCCTCCTCCTCGTAATTCACACTGGACTAAAGTTTTCACATTTAAATACATATTTACAATCCTGAAGCTGTTATTAAATTAAATCAATCATTCCTATGCAAGTGTCACAAGTAAAAGGACAATAAAAAGGAGAGAATTTTAAAAGCCTCCATATTTGGTTGGATGCCAAAGTGATCACCAAGAAATTAGGTTAGTAGACATTATGAATTGGTTTT